TTGGCCTGCTGTGTTCCTCCAGGTCTACACCTTGTTATCTCAGATTCTCCAGCATCTGCAGTTCCTACTATCTCCAAATCAGGTACTGCTTTAGTTACCAAAATGTTATTGCTCCACATTCAGATCACTGAAACAGAGTGAGTGTAATTATTTTAAACATCAGAATTTTAAGTGTATGATTTTTTTCAACATTTCATATTTACAGATTTCATGTTCAAGATTATTTCAATAAAACATTTAAACACGTTTGCTGTAATAATCCCAGTGCCTCAAACTTAAAAACTAAATATGCCTTTTGTGTATCATGACAGTTTTTGACTATTCCTAAACCATGAAAGCTGATGTTTCTTTCAGGAAAGGGGTATAGCAATATTTCAGGTTGCTTTTCCATTACAGTTTGGAAGTGGGGGTGGGGTGGGGAAAGAAATGTTTGGAACATTAATCTTAGAACACAACATTAGCATCTTATTTTTATTGTGTCTGAAAAAAAGTGGCTAAAGATTTGTCAAACATGCAAAACTATTGAAATAGCAAACAAAATGCAAACTTGAGTACTTGTATCCTCAACCCCACCACATTATGCAATCTTGGCTTATATTTTGTCTGAGAGTAGTGACTAATAATGGCCTATTGCTATATGCTGGCAGCCCTCATGCAGCAGCATAAATTGTAAATTATAGTAGATAATAGGGTAAGAGTTGAGTCACAGCTAAACCTAATTCAGTTTTTAAATCAGCTCATGAGTTTGTCAACAGGGATGACTAAATAGCATTGAGCAACACTGCTTTCTGGCTTTATAGCCCGTGGCCACCAAAGTAAACTGCAGTGCTTCTAAAAAAGTTCTATCTGAGATTAAATAAATCAGTAAAAGAACCATCTTGCCTTCTAGTGGGAAGAGTTCAGTTTTCCTGTTCCTGACTTGCATTTATAGAAACATGGACCATACACAGCAGACATCTCAAATCCCTCCTACCTTCGCAAAGTACTGCAAATCCACTGGCAGCATAGACATGCCGACGTGAGTGTCCTATGCACAGCTTAATATCCCTAATAACAAGGCTCTGGTCAGACATGACCAGCTGTAATGGGCAAGCCACATTGTCCACATGCCAGTCACAGGATTTCCTAAACAAGTGGTCTACTCTGAGCTCTGCAATGGTACACAATCCCTAGTAGGGTAGAGGAAATGGTACAAGGACACCCCAAAAGCCTCCCTAAACAAATGCAACATCCCCACTGACATGTGGAAATTGCTTGACCTAGAATGTACAAAATAGACACGCAGCATCAGTGAAGGTACCAACCATACCCAGCATCATAGAGTGGAGCACGTGGAGACCAAGTGCAGAACGTGCAGAATCCATTGCATGCCACCTGTCTCACCCTTCTAGGATGTTCACACTGTAAACCAGATTGATAATCTTAGTACAGTCTGGCTTATTTAATAAATGATATCCAATAGCAGAATCACATCAAAATGGTGGATATACTTTTCCAAGCACAGACTGGTTGTGCACTATCAGCATGTTGCTTGCTATGAATGGTCACTGGAACAAGTTTGATACAATCAGCCAGTTGTTGGATGTTTGGCCTACATACCTGGCATTAAATTTAATATTGTGGTTGGTTGGCTCACCGAGCTGGTTCGTTGTTCCGCAGACGTTTCATTACCTTGCTGGGTAACATCATCAGTGCAACCTCCGATGAAGCGCTTCATCGGAGGCTGCACTGATGATGTTACCCAGCAGGGTAATGAAACATCTGCGGAACAACGAACCAGCTCGGTGAGCCAACCAACCACAATATCCACAACCCAAGCTACAAATCTTCTCTAAAACCTTAAAAATTCATATTACATTCCTCATTGTGTAGTAGGTAAATGGTAGCATCCTGTTAGTGAAATAAATCACTAATGGATTCACTGCATAGCAGCTATTGTTCACGTTTTTGAGACACCTTCCTCTTCCAGCGTAATTTGAGGTAGACTAGGTACTGCTCAGGACCATAGGTAATGGCACAACTAATGTGGGAGAAATCAGGATTCCAGACAATGCTTAACAGTCACAAGTAGATTTGAATGCAGTGGGGGGAACTGGACCAGATACTGGGTGACATCTTTTTCTAAATTATAACTATATGACACGTGGGCCAGCATTTATTGCCCTTGAGATGGTGACGAGTGGTCTTCTTGAATGACTGCAGTCCTTCAGGGTGTAGACATCACACAGTGCTATTAGAAAGGGAGGTCCAAGATTATGATACAGCAAGTGAAAAAAAGGCAAAATAGTTACAAATCACGATGATGTGCAATTTGGAGGGGATCTTGCAGGTGGTGTTCTCATACAACCTGGAAAAATGCAATGCATAACATGTTGGACACTCCTGGGAAAAGAACCCAAGTGAATCAGTGAAAGAATGAGATTAGACATCATAGAGATTAATGAATTATGTATTCATAAACCATGCCATTAGGAGCAACTCAGGCACTGGAATCTCTCAGAAATATCATTTTTAACTTGATCAGAAGAGATTACATGCATAGTTTATGACTGGGTGGGAAGGGACCATGACTGTATGGAACAGGCTAGAATGGTCCAAGAGGTCTTTTCCTGCCTGTCACTTTGAATATAAAAGGAAAGTATCAAAGTATGTCATTCATAAAGGAGGAGAACATGCCCCCATCTACATCAACAGAACTGAAGTTAAGAGAGTGAAGAGCATCAAGTCCTTCAGAGCGACGACAACCGATGACCTGTCCTAGACTTGCCATGTAGATGCAACAGTCAAGAAGGCACAACAACACCTCTTCACCTCAAGTGGCTCAGGAACTTTGGCATGCCCATAAAGACTCTCACCAACTTCTACAGATGCACAATTGAAAGCATCCTGTCCAGGTGCATAACAGCCTGGCATGGAAACTGCTCTGCCCAGGACCTTAAGAAACTACAGAAGGTTGTGTGCACAGCCCAGACCATCACGGAAGCCAACCTTCCATCTATGGACTCTCTATTTATATGGCTCGCTGCCACGGAAGGATGGCCAATATCATCAAAGACCCATCTCACTCTAGTGATGACCTCCTACAACCTCTTCTGTCAGGCAGAGGATACAGAAGCCTGAACACAGGCACAGGCAGAGGCAGGTTCAGGAACACCTCCTTCCTGACTATTATCAGACTGTTGAATGGAGTCTAGCCTCAAATAATGTAAGCTGCAATTTAACCTGTATGCCTCTAAGTCTTCTTGATCTGTACATCCTTTGCTTGCTGTGATCTACCTGTACTGCTCGTAAACAAGCTTTTCACTGTATTTTGGTACGTGACAATAAAAATCAAATCATAAATATGTCCAGAATTACAGAAAGTCAAATATTGGAAGTATCAGAGATTAAAAAGATTAAAAATTAAAACTAGCTAGAAAAGCTATTTCAGTCCTTACAACCTTAAACTGACAGTCTTTAAGGTTTTAAAAAAAAAAGTTTCAATGTTATTTTTAAGTGAGCACCTCAGTTGCTAAGCTCACACAAACTAATCAAGTAGCATAATTTCAAAGTATGTAGATGACATGAATCAAGAAAGTAGTAAACAGTAAGGAGGATAATTACATTTCAGCACGAGATGGACATACCACTAAAATGCTCAGATTCGTGGCACACTGAAATTTAATGCAATAAGTGTTAGCAAAGTGTATCATTTTATGAAGAATGAGGAGAGGAAACAAATTAAGTGGCAAAATTTTCAAGGGGTTCAGGAATGGTGTGACCTAGGGAATTGCACATAGACTAGATAGGCAGCAGGGCAAGTTTGTAAAATGTTTAAAAATCATATGGAATCTTGTCTTATGAATGCAGGCATGAGTATAAAAGTAGAGAGGTTATTCTAGACCTTGAAAGACCACTGGTCAGGCCCAAGCAGGAGTATTTTGTTCAGTTCTGGGTACACAAATTTGGATGTCAAGGATGCAGAAAAATTTACTAGAATAGTGGTGGGACAGACTAGTCAAACAAAGATTGGTCTCTTGATATTTAAGAGGAGATTCGACAGGTGTTCAAAATTGAAACAATAAATAAGGATAAACAGTTTCAATGGCAGAGGTCTGCTAGGTCACAGTCACAAAGGTTTAAAGGTAACTGGGAATTTTCTTTTAAGAGTAGTGATATGATGATTTGGAATACAGTCCACAAAAGGGTGGAGGAAACAGATTCAATTGTGACTTTCAAAAAAAGGAAGTGAATAAATACCTGAAGCGAAGAAAATTGCTGGGTTATAACAAAAAGGCAGGGAAGTGGAAGTATTTGGTTAGGTTTTTCAAACTTGTTGATGCAATAGACAAACCGAACGACTTCTTTCTGTTGTTTAAGATTCAAAACTACATATTTATTTTTAAGAAATTTTAGATAATTATGAGATTTTAAATGCCTGTAACCTGGGGTGCATGGAGAAAAGAGAAAGTTGGGAGGAGAAATAAAAGACTACCCATTATCAGCTTATTGATTATGAAGCAATGGTTCTCTGGGAAGCAACTGATTACATCATTAACGTACTTACACTGTCTACCTCAAAAAAACCAACCATTATACTATGCATGAAGGATTTTCGTTTTACCTTCTTACTCTGAACTCATGAATGTTTAAACATGTCTCACATGATATTTTAGTTCTTCAGTAGAGTAAGTTCATTCCTTGGTACAAGATTTACATCATTTTGATAATCGTAAAATAGGTTCACTCCGATATCAATTCCTGATGGGCTGTTCCAAGTAAGTGAACTTAGCAATGTCAAATCAATACAAGTGAAGGTTCACAATAGTAATGTTCATTGTCATGTAGCTCACTTTGCGACCATAAAAGTGTGAGAAAGATGAATGAAGTTAGAATTTGCTAACAATTCCATTGTAGAATACCAACAATAATTGGACTTAATTACAAAATGTGATTGATAATAAGGCATTTGGACTGGTTTACGATAAACAACTGAAAATATTGTGAGCCAAATACTGCCATGTTCAATAAAAGGTTTAATGTATTAATAAAATGGAGCAAAGCCACGGACCATGAAACTCTAAAGTTGTAAATTCTGCAACCAAATAAAAAAACAAAAGGTGAAGGATACATCATATTTCAACATAAATAACTCAGTGTTATTGGGCTCAGATTGCTGTACAAGGAGTTTACGGCCTCTTGTTTATCAAAAACATTGTCAAGTATAAATATAAATATTATTTATATTTAGATTCAGGAACGTCATCTTCACTTCTAGACTTTTTCCCAAAAAACAGTCGATAAAATTTTGATACAAAGCACTGTTGGTAAACAGGCTCAGTAAAATGGAGGCCAAAGATTTATGTATAACATTAATGAAGATGAAACTAAGAGAAAAAGTCTTACATATGTTTGAATTTTTAGCAAAGCAATATGGTTGAAATCAATTTTTGTACAGTTTGCATAACAAATAGAATCCTTTGGTACAATAATGGAAGTAAATGGTTCCGTTGAGTTTTCTGAAAATATGCTGGTCTTATTAAACTTAGTGTGCTAGGCAGTGGAGATATGGAATATTTTCCAATGGTTCCACAACTCTGGATGTGGTCAAGGAAACATTATTGTCACTTATACAATTTTCAAAAATGCTCATAGTTACTGTGGTTCCAGAAACACTTTCATTAATGAATTATGTTCGGATCCAATATTTAACCAGATTGAATAAATCTAAAAAAATAAATATTTATAGACTCAACTTAGACCAAAATAACTATCTTAGTCACTATCATATTCCTCTATCATTAATTCTTCCTCTTCTTCTTCTTCTTGGAAGGATTGGGTTATGGTTGGTTGTGGTTGGCTACTTGGTAAATCTCCTGCACCAGAATGACTTGCGTTGCTGGTTGAACACAATGATGTTGCTGTTGCCTGATCATGTGTTAATGACTGAGACTGGGCACAGTCATCTTCATTATCTAACTCCAGAATACCTGGATCCTTATCTGTTAAAGTTTCCAACGTTAACCTGAAAAACCCCAAAATCAAAAATGTTAAGTGACAGCATCTCATAACTGTTGCAACCATATAAACAATACACACATTGTAAGTGTTGTGAAGACTAACACAATGAACCATTGCTAATGCAAATATAAGGTGACCTCTTACCACTACAAAGTTCAAGTCGTAAATTTGGTAAGAGATTACAATCCAGACAACAGAGTAACTAACAAAGTCTAACTGGTAGATTACACCCAATGAAAATATTTTTTCAGCATTGATCTCATTGCCATGAAGCATCAAAATAAAACTGACTCCAGCTGGTTTCTGGTGCCTCACTGTCAGCTTCAAACGATTACATCTACCATTCCTTGAGGCCAAAGCAGTCCAGTTGCACAATACAAATATAATGCTCTTCCACTTAAGACAGACCTTCCAAGATCTGAATCCAAGTAATTTTTTGATCCTCAATTCCCACTTTTGAAACTAGATTAATTTCCTATGGTGTTCTTTGCAGTAATCTGACTGAAACAGTTTTCACAAGGACAGGAGAGGGTGTAGTTACAAACTGCATATACTCTGCAGCTAAGACAAAACTGTACTTTTCAGGCCAAGTCCATTTACTGGTAAAGAGACTCAGATCAGAGGTCAATTGCAGTTGAGTGGCACCAGGTTGGAGGCAAGTAGCGTCAAATAACTGCTTTTCTTATGTAAAAAAAACTTCTAGTTGATGACAGTTTAATTTTATTTGCTGCGTCAGAGTTTTATAGCTTTGTGAAGAGTTCAGATCGGATGTGTACAGAAATATTGGCTTCCATTTTAGAAAAAGAAAGCTTCTTTTGCATGTTGCATCAAATCTTTTGCTTATTCAGAACTCTGAAATGTTGCTTGGTGAGGAAACTGTAATGATCTGTTCCAAGCCAGATGGACCCAGGATTAAAATTACTGGTTAGAGACAAAAAAAACTGCAGATGCTGGAAATGAAGGTAGACAAACAGGAGGACGGAAGAACACAGCATGCCAACCAGCATCTGGGGGAAAGGAGCAGTCAACGTTTCGAAGAAGGGCAATATCCGAAACATTGACTGTTCCTTTCCTCCAGATGCTGCCTGGCCTTCTGTGTTCTTCCAGCCTCCTGTCTGTCTACATTAAAATTACTGGCTTTTTTGTGTTTTAAAAAGAAAGTGTTTTCCATCTTGTAGTGCTGAAATCTGGGGTGTGAGGGACAAAATGCACCTCACATTCATGTTTTCAAAACAACGCAAGAAGTTTGCCTACAGGACTATTTATGCCAAATTAGAGGATAAACTGTTTTATAAAGAATAGAGGTATTACAAAATGTCTTATTCTGCTGCTAAATTGAACTGGTATTACTCAACTCCAGTACTTCTAACTGGGTGAAGAAAAAACTGAGATCAGATTTTAATTGCTGTTCAGACTATCAATAACTATTAGTCCAGGTCTGCTCTTTTTTTTTCAAAAGAAAAGGTTATGACTGTTGACATGAATGAAGAAGCTGCAGAGAAGCAGATTCTAGCATTTTCTATTGCCTGGGAACTTCTCTGTTGTCACTGACTAGTTTGATTACTTTATACTGAATTTGCAACACAAAAAAACAGACAAGTTTCAATCTAGTTATCAAAGAATTAATTTGGTGCTTCTCAAATAGTGTACCAAGATCTCTGCATTTACATGAACTGGTAAGCAAATTTCCAGTTTGAATGCCCTATTTGAAAAGAAGGGACTCAGATCGTGCAACATTAACTCACTGAAGTTGCAATTTAGATTAGATTTCAGATCACAAAGCGTAGTTTTCCTGCATTTTTGAAATTAATGCTAAGACTGCTACAGATCATGATGTAGATCAGAACCCTGAACTATCAAAACCTGACAAACCAGTTTGTGGTAAGTTCCATTTAGCAATTAGGGACATTGTAGCCCTCACATACAAAGTATGATATGAAAGTGTTTGTTCTCTGCAGTGTTAACATATCATTTTTAAAGGCTAGATGTACGATACATGGATAGATTAAAATGTATATATAATAAAATGTATTTTTAATGTGAGGATCACCTGTCTCTTGAATTCCTAGACTGATAATTAAGGGCAATTTTCTATTTTTCCCCCCAGTTATGCAGCCACTGTTGTTTCTTCAGCACAAAGATCTCCAGTATGGATTAAAGGCATCCCAGTAATGTTGGAAGATCCATTATTGACAACTTACTAGCTGCTGTGCGGTTGAGCTTCATTTTGGAGCAGCCTCCTATACTAGTTGTGGCCTTCAACTGGCAGTCAAGGCAGAGGCGCTTGCATCATCTAAGAGCCTTCCAAACGTTTTGAAAACTTATACAATTGTTAAGGAAAAAGACAGGTCAAATCTATTCTGTACTTTGGGAGAATGTCCATGGAATATTATTTAAAAATTTATACCTAAGCAGCTTTGAGAATTAATTGCAATTGTTTTAGTTTTTAGCTAAAATTGTTTTATATTACAGCAAAGCACAGAACAGGATATTCCTGGAATTGGAAATATTGATGTTGTCAAAATATACATGTAATAAGTGTGTAAACATTTAGTAATAAGAGCAGTTAAACACTTCCCTTTTTTTGTCCTTTCTACAGTGCTGTTGTAATTTCAAACTTAAGTACATTTTAAACCAAAATTCACTAAGGAGAGACAAATTGGAATTTCAGACTGGCCCAAAGATAATCTTCAGAATTCTAAGTTAAGTTCTTATTCACCAGCAATTGAAACAAAATTACAAGTAACTAAATTCCACCCTTCTCCTCACCCCCCTCAATTTGGCTCAAGCAATAAAGATTGTATAATACAATTTTACTCCCCGCCCCCCGCCTCACCCCCATCCCGGAGAAATACAGAACAATAGGCAACAACTTATAACGTTTCAGGACTTGTCACATATTTGGAGAGAAATTTCTACATACCTAGTAGAGTATCTCTTGAAAGGAAACCTTCCCACATCATGGATAAAATTAATTTGGGCTGTCCAGAAAATAGAAAACAATTTTGTAAATGTAGTACAGATGTAAAAAAGTGTAACATCATAAAACTGCAGTCATTATTGTGTGAAGAGTGATCTTGCTGTTTTATTGCAATTTTTCATAAGTTGTTTTTAATTTCTGCTGTATTCTCTTAAGCACTGCCCAAATGGAAGGTGCTGAGAACCTATTTTAAGTTTCTAATTTACCATTTGTTAACAGGTCAGAAACAATAGCACAGCAGAACTGAAATTCAAGGATCAACACATTCACATTAGTAACAAAATAATTCTATTTACAAGCTTGTTATAGTCAAAAAGTGAACCTTCCTGACACTTATAGGATTGAGAGTCTGCATCAGACAGTTTCACCATTGCCCACAATTTATTTTCCAAATAATCATTACACAATATGGTGAATATTCACCATTCTCTAACTGATTCCAAATTAGTCTCAAGATATGATGTGGTAGACAGTTGAGTTTGGAGGCTTAAACCAACACTGAGAAATTAATTAGTTGTAGGTCATTGCCAAATACTGGCCTCGAAAGATGGGCAGGGGAGTTTAATTAGGTGGGAGGCAAATTGGCTTGGCTGTAATGTCTCCGGACTAATTCAGAGGGGATTTAGGGATAAAAAGAGAAAATGATGGAGACACCCAGTAGCTCTGGCAGCATTTGTGGAGAGAGAAACAAAGAAAATGTGTTGAGTCTAATAGGAGTTGTCTTCAGAGCGAAGGAAACTTTGTTTCTCTTTCCACTGATGCTGCCAGTCCCAATGAGATTTTCCAGCACTTGCTAGTTTTATGTCAGACTTCCTGCATCCATAGTACTTTGCTTTAAATGTCCTGGGGACATGGGATTCAAATGGTAGACTGTGAAACTAAATTTAATAAAACTTGGAATTATCAAAACGTAGCTTTATATGGTGACAATGTAACCACTGTCATTTAAAAAAATACCACTGGGTTCATGAATATATTTCAGGGAAGGAAATCTGCTGTCGTGATCTGGTCTACATATGTCATCCAGACCCACACCAATATGGTTGAATCTTAACTGGTCTCTCAAATGGCCTAGTAAGCCACTCTCAGGAAAAAGCTAGAGTCTAACGTAAAAGACATGATAACAGAACACTTGAAAAGCATTAACAGGATTGGGCAAAGCCATCATATGTAAAGGAAATCTGTTTAACAAATCTACTGAAGTCTTTTTTTATAAAAAGTATGGATAAGGGAGAACCTGTGGATATGCTGTATTTAGATTTTCAGAATGCTTTTGATAAGGTTGGGGATTCTAGAACCAGGGGAGAGTTTCAGGATATGGGGTAAACCATTTAGGACTGACAATGAGGAAAAAAGTGTCATTGCTCAAAAAGGTAGTAAATCTGTGGAACTATCTATCTATCATAGAAGGCTCCGAAGGCCAAGTCACTAAATAAATTTGAGAGAGAGACTGATAAAATGTTTAGATATTAAAGACATCAATGGGTATGGGGGAGAAATTGAGAACATGGCATTATATTAAGATCATAGTCAGAGGATCAGTCGTGAATCATATTGAATGGCAGAGTAGGAGTAAAGGGCCAGATAGCGTACTCGTACTCTTAGTTTCTATGTTTCAGTTATATTAGACTGCTACAAAAGTCAAAACAAAGAAATAAAAAACTTTTATTGGACTATCTGGCATCATCCTAGGTATAAAGTCTTCCTCACTAACACCTGAGGCTTGTACCAAAATTGGGAGTTGTCCCACAGATTAGTCAAGCCTAACATTCTAAAGGTATGATTCTGTGAGTATAGCTATGTCTCAGACATCATCATCATTGGCTATATCCTATCCCACTGGCAAGGTAGACTGACCAGAAATGGTGACAGTCAGGAAGTTGTTGTTCTGGGAATATTCAACATTGACTCAAGACTCAATAATGTACGGTAACAGTTCAAACACAGGCAAAAAAGCTCTCTGCTGTTAGCTGCCGACTATTATCCCTTAGCTGATGACTCAGTACTCTATGTCGAACATTATTTGGAGGCAGCACTGGAGCATGACATTAGCAGAGAATGTACCCTGGGTGAGGGTAGCACCTGGTGGTATTGTCACTCAATGTTAATCCAGAAACTCAGCTAATGTTCTGTGGACACGCATTCAAATCCTGTCATGGTGGATGGTGGAATTTTAATTCAATAAAGAATCTTGAATTAAGGTTCTAATGATAACCATGAAACCATTGTCAATTGTCAAAAAAAAACCATTGAGTTCTCCTTTAGGGAAGGAGATCTGTCATCCTTGCCTGGTCTGGCCTACATGCGACACCAGACCCACAGCAATGTGGTTGATTTTTAACTGCCCTCTAGGCAGTGAGGGATGGGCAATAAATGCTGCCTAGCCAGAGATGGCTATATCCTGTGAGTAAGTAATATAAACACTTATAGCTTCACACATCAACATCCCACCAAGAGTCAGATTGTTCCATACGCACGTGGCAAACAGCACAATGTAAAGATTCAGAAAACAAGTATCTGACATGGCAGAATGAGAAAGGGGAAAACCAGTCAGTCAGTCAGTCAGTCAGTCAGTCAATCATGGAGGATGCACTTGATTCTGTGCAGGTAGCTGTAGGATAGGCTTTTACCAAAAAAAAAAAAAGCAGCCGGATAAGGGTATACTGATTTTGTCAAGATCTCAAATGGAAAACATAAATCTGCAATGACTTCACAGATCAGTACTTCCATGCCAAAGCGGCTGAATTATGGTTATTGAGTGGTTGTGAGAGGAAGGGGAAGAGATAAAAAATCTCTCCCTCAATGTCACTAAAACATAAAAGCTGGTTATTGACTTCAGGAAGCAGAGTGGAGGGCACACCCCTAACTACATCAATGGTGCTGAGGTGGAGATGGTCAACAGCATCAAGTTCCTGAGAGTGATGATCACCTGTACTGTTCCACCCACGTTGATGTTATGGGCAAGAAAGCACAACAACTCATCTAATTCCTCAGGAGGCGAAAGGAAATTCAACATGTTGGTAAAGATGCTTACCAATTTTTATAGATGTACCATAGAAAGCAATCTATCCAGATGCATCATGGCTTTGGATGGCAACTGCTCTACCCAGGACCATAAGAAACTATACAGAGTTGTGAACACAGCCCAATCCATCATGTAAGCCAACCTTCCATCCATTGACTCCATCTAGACTTCTCTCTGCCTCGGAAAGGCAGGCAACATAATCAAAGACCACTCCTACCCCAGTTATAATCTCTTTCAACCTCTTCTGTTGGGCAGAAAAGACACAAGCTTAAATGTACCAACAGATTCAAGAACAGCTTCTTTCATACTGTTAATTGAACTTCTGAATGTATCTCTCAAATTTTAAATTTAAATGTTGATCTCACTCTTTGTGCACGTTCTCTGCAGCCATTACATTGTATTCTTCACTATGTTTTATTACCCTAAAGCACTTTGTATGGTATGATGTGCCAGTACTGCATGCACAAAAAAAAAACCTTCTCACTGTGCCTAGAAACATGTGACAATAATAAATCAAATCAAAAAAGGAGGAGGAAGAGGAGGGGTAATGAACAACCCAATGGAACAGAGACATGGGGTTCAAGGGCGTATAGTTGCACATGAACATGCAGGCAAGAAGAGGAAAATAAGGATCTTCAATGTCGTCAAGTGCTGTACCGAGCTAGAATGTAATAAAGGCTTTGCAGCTACTTGCAAGTAAGGAAAAGGCAGTGCGAGACGTATCCTGGCATGACTAGGAATTCAATCACGTACATCTTCCACTTTCTGCAGGCAGATCTGCAGCTGTGTGGCTTGGGAGGATGTGCTACGCCTGTAGTGCTGAAGGTCACAGCAGCATTGAATTTCCTAATCAGTAGTTCCTTTCAAACCTCAACTGGGGACACGTCTTGACATTTTCCAATTGGCAGCCCAGAAGGGCATTGTGGTTCCCCAATGCCTTTTACAGGAAAGCAATATAGTTATTCCAATTCATTATGGACCCAGAGCACAGATATGCAGACATTGCTAGGTTCATCATCAGGGACAAGGTGCAATTGACTACACACCTGCAGCACTTGAACCTCTCTGGCATTAATCCAGCTAGATTCCTGAACAGGAATGGATTTCACTCCCTCAGGGGTCAGCTCATTTCTGATCACAGGCAGCAATTCCTGCAGGTGTATGCCGACGGTCCAGGGAACTATACCCTTGGAAAGGGAGGAGAGGGATCCAATTGTCATCACGTACATTGGTACCTCAACATTGGTAGGACTAGAAAGGAGGTTCTGTTGAAAGATTTTCCAATAGTTAGGAGCTAAATCAAAAGGCAGAACCTCCAAAAGGTAATAATCTCAGAATTACTACCTAAGTCACATGCGAGGGTAAATGAAATCCAGTTGCTAAATACATGGCTCAAAAGGGATTGAAGTCGGGGAGAAAAGTCTTTCAGTTTATGGACACTGGCACCAGTACTGGGGTAGAAGGGAGCTGGTCCAGTAGGATGGTCTTCACTTGAACCATGCTGGGACCAGTGTCCTGGCAAATTGAATAACTAATTAAGGGGTTGGGGGTAGAATTTGGGGAGATTCGAAGTATCGGCTTTCAAAGCTAGAGGACATAGCAGCACTACAGGGCAGGTATTTGGGTAATGAAACCCTGAGTGGGTCAGGAAGGGACAGAGTGTACAAACAGTAAAATGGGGTCAGAGGGAAACATGCTTAAAAGGCAAAATTAATGGCTCTGAATGCACATAGTATTTGAAACAAAATAAATACAGGTAAATCATAACTACAGGTAAATGGATATAATCTTATAGCCATAACAAAAACATGGTCACTAGGAGATCAAAACTATGAACAAAATATTCAAGGGTAAGTGACTTTTGAAAAGACAGGCAGGAAGGAAAGGATGGAGGAGGGGGTTAGCATTGCGTGTACGGAAAGCAATAAATACTACAGCAAGAAATGATCTGGTATCAGAAGATGCACTACCAAATAGTTGGATGTAAGAAGTGAAAAAAGGGAAAGACAACACTGGCAGCTGTAGTCAAAAGGCCCCCTGTCAGTAGCTATTTAGTGGGACTGGGAATAAATCAGAAGGTAATGGGGTCATATAAAAATGACATAGATTAATCATGGGTAACTTTAATCTTCGTGTAGATTAGGATAGTCACAATGGGATTAAGAACTGATAAAACCACTGGGTCTAATGTGATTCATCCTAGTACATGAAACGAACTAGCTACAGAGATAGTAATATTTCAATAATCCTTAGATTCTGGAAAAGTCACCAAGGATTGGAAAACTGCAAATGTAACACCTTTATTTAAAATGGAAAGGAAACACAAAATAGCTAACTATAGGATATTAGCTTAACATTTTGTCACTAACAGGATATTCAGAGTCTTAGATGTAATAGCAGAGCATTTAAAAATGTATCATATGATCAAGAATAGTTAGCACAGTCACAAAGTGGAAATCATGCCTGTCAAATTTATTAGAATTCTTTGAAATAACAAGTAGGATAGATAAAGCAGCGAGTACAGTATATTTGTATTTCCAGAATGCACTGATATGGTACCACACATTAGGCTACTTAATAAGCTCATGGGTGTTGGAAGTAGTATATTAGTATGTATAAAGGATTGACCAATGAGAGAGAGTTGGGTTAAGGGTACATTCAAATATGGTGCTTGGAAGGTCCTAGAAAGGGGACAAAATTTCCTGCCCATAAAATGTGGTGTTTCACACGCGCATGAAAACGCACTGAGCCGAGAAGAACATAATCCTGGGAGAAAACCTGAGTGGAAGTGCCTTCCGTATTTAGGCCCATCTCCACACTTAGTCTCCAAGCCAACAAAAGCAACAATCAAAAATACACGTGCATCCTCTTGCTTCTGAGAATTTTGCCTTGGAAGTTATAAAATGAAAATTAAACATAATAATTAGATAACTTTCCCCAAAAGTACACATGCAGCAACTGTTATACCTTGTTGGTACTACCTTTACATCAAATTATACATTACTGAAAACAAATTTCTGCTATTCTATTAATATTAAACTGCTTACCTTGGTTTCTCATGGGGTTCGTTAACAGAGCAAGATATGGCAATAGCTGGGTCTGAATGCAATATGGGGCCAAACAGAAATTTGAAAAAAATCCTTTGGCTGCAAGACAGTTTTCTTTATACTGAAAGAACAGGAAGACAAGTATTTTATGTATTAATTTAAAAAAAATTGTGATTGTAATCTAACACAAAGTAACATAACCAAGTAATTCATTAATGAGAGTTGTTGCAACAAGTACATTGCTGCTGGATTGCACCATTCACATTCCACAGAGAATTAACCCATCTGATTGAACAGCACCTGGATAAATCACTACCAGAATTTATCAGCCAAATAAGTTCCGCACATACCTTTCTACTTATTGAGAGCCACTGTGGTTTGTGTAAAGGTTTGAAGCCAGCTCCTCCTCTACAATTAGCTCGAGCTCTAGCTTTGTTAGCATGAATCAACCCTCGTGCAGCAACAGACGTACTATATTTCTGCATAGTTGAACGATTCTAAGGAAGTTGTATTGAATGTACAGAGAAATAGGTTTATTAAAATTTGGTGCAAGATAGGACCATAAACATGACCAATTCTCTCAGAGTTTCATTTGTCTGTAAATTAGGATATAATGCAAAATATATATCCGCTTTCCAGTTATGTAGAATCATAAAGTAGGCCAGTCAACGCTTTCAAAAGCAATCAAGTTAGCTTCACTCCCCCTCCCACAGTCCAACAAATTTTCTCTTTCTTCAAGAATTTATCCCATTTCCCTGTGAAGGCTACAAATGAAAGGGTGGTGAATACTCAATCAGTTATTGCATTCCAAACTGTAACCACCCGATATGTACAAATGCTTTTCCTTGTGTTATTTCTGGTCCTTTTGCAAAGCACTCAGAACTCATGTCCATTGGTTAATGGCCCTTCGGCCAATTAGAGCAGATGCTCAGAGATAGTAGGAACTGCAGATGCTGGAGAATCCGAGACGACAAGGTGCAGAGCTGGATGAACACAGCAGGCCAAGCAGCATCATAGGAGCAGAAAGGCTGACGTTT